TCTACCTCCGGTAATTTTTGGTAGCTCGGATCGGGGACGAGTCACGGAAAAAAGCAGTGGGTGCTCGTAAGTTACACTGCATTTTATGGAACTGGATTTTGTATGAGAAAAGGGGATATGAGCGAACAGGTTTCTTTTTATAGGTTGAGAAATTTATCCTTGGTAGCCTGCAGTCAGAAACCTTTCCCTCTAAATTATAACTGGCGCAGGACCCAGAGACCACGGAACGCACCACACCGGACGATATATTCGATTGAGTTGGAATCCAAAATTCAAGGAAACTGTTGTTATTGCAGAAAACGAGTGTTCATGATAGATTACTTGGTGCGCGGTTGCATTAAGTATCTTCTGGGTACGTTTTTACTTTCAAGATGTAATTCAGATGTTAAAGTGAGTTCACAAAGAGTGTTTATGTTTACATGGTCGTCCTAGAAAGAGGTTCACTGGAAAATATTCCGCTGTTCTTCTGCACCTTTTACTTCAGGTGGAGGTCTTGCCAGCGTAACCCGCTTGTATGAATTTGTAGTTTTCGCCAACTGGCATTTGGTTTGATGGTTATGGCACGAGTATTTAGCGTTTAATATATTAAAGGTCGTTTTGACAGTGTCCTCTGGTCATATACGATGTATAATATATTATTTTCTTTATCATAACGCCGTTAATCACAAATTGGCCTTTTCAGGGATGACAGAATTTCATTAATGTGCTAATTGGCTAACTGCTATGCAGCATAAAACTATGTCACTAAATTAGTATGGGATTCGTGTGTGTACCGGTCAAGCTATTTAACTGACGGTCTTGGGAAGCAGCAAAATGGTATTATATTAAATTTAGTTGACTCGAAGAAATGTTTGGGGTCTATAGTGAGGCCACTCCGCGTGCAACGCTCACCACTCGCGGCCACTAGGAAGTGCGCTCGCAGCAGTATCTCTCTTTCCCGATCTGATCGTGCAAATCACCTTCAGTGCTGACTCACACTTGACCTGTAGTGTTTTCACATGTCAGACGCGACCCTCTCGCGGGTGGTCGCGTACTCGTCCGACCGTCAGCTTCCTCCTATCTGTTATCCACTACATCTGTACAGA